GCAGTGGCGGTGGAGGAGGAGGCAAATGTGGCGATTCGTGCACCAAAGGCGGTCGACGGTGTGCAAGCTGCAAGTCTGGCAAGTGTAGCTCCTCACATCGTTCAGGGCGTCGTTCGAGGCATCGATCGCGGGACTACAAGGGCACCAGTAGCAGCGGAAGCAGCGGCAAGTCTGGCCGACGTAGACGACGTCACGCTGCCAGCAGTGGTGACAGTCTTCACTCGCAGAGTCATGACGGAGCTGAGTCCGGTCCAGAACTGGGACGCTCTGACGGAAATGAGGAGTCTGGTGGGGCTGAGGAAAAGTCGTATGCGGATAGGATTATTAAATTCGGCAGCATGCCATCTTATCGGTACGTTTCTTTATCCAGGTGTGGACTGCGTTCTGCACTCTGTATTCATTATCATAAAAAATCCCAATTCGGGTTTCCTTCTTCATCCTTCATTGACTTCTAAAGATAAATTGGTTTAATACGTTTGAACGAAGACACAAAGTGGAACCTAGTAACTCATATTACACAGGACTCGCTGAGGTGCTGAGAGACGGTGATGGAAGCCTCACCGAAGCTTCTCTATGGAATTCTAGCCTATACCTGCTTTGAAAATATATGTCTTAAACAAGCTACTTACCGTTAGTATGTGTGGAGTCTACCGAGCACAGCAATTAGTAGTAATTTCTGCCGCGATTGTTGTTATGTTAGCCAAAAGCCTAAGTACGTCTTCTGTGGCTCCCCAAGGAAGAATTCAACAAGAAGAGCGCAAAAGTCGAAATCTTTTAGCGTACTAAGATGAGCATATTTAAGGTAAACAAACGAGTTTACAGCCATGTATATTGGGCTAATCAGATACTGTGCTGGAACGAGTAGCGATACGATTGGCTTGTGACTCAGCGACTGGTTTGTCAGAGTCCTAGCCTTGCCGCAGCTTTAAATTTAAAATTATTGATTGACTGCCAGCTTACGTGCGCCGCGTGTATGTGGATCGATAGCCTGGCGTGAGCGCTAATCGCTGCCTGTCTGCTAGCTGTCCGCTCATGTGTTTGTTAGGGCGGCTCCTAACATCGATAGCAATTAAACGAGGACTGTACTTGGACTACCTAATGTTTCCAAGATTGGCACATGTATGCACTTAGGTAGATCTATAACTTCCGTCATTTACTTATACAGGAAATAAGCTTGCTGTGATTGGCTAATCCAATCGGTACAGACACGAACGGGTGAGCATCGTCGAACTCAGTACGCATTTAACACGAGTTCGTTTGCTAGTAGGATGAGTGGAACTCATTTCTCACCTGTTGCTGCATGTGTTTTTTCAATACCACAGTACTACTTATAGTCTCTCTCTCTCTGTGTATTAGGAGGGCTTGGCGGATTTGAATATTTCAGTTGACCCAATTACAAAAAACTCGCGGTCTCAGTGGGAGTCGAAAAAACACAGCAGGGAAGGCTTTTGCGCAGCCAACAATCTACCATTGAGCTACGAGACTCGCCGTGAGCCGTGAATTTAATCACACTTGGGTCCATTTACCCACCCCGGATTTAATGTATCCGTAATGTGGATTCCATACGAGCAGTACGTTGGGCGGGTGAATCG